GGGATTGAGTTAAACATGGATTGGGATCCGTTGAGGAACGAGAGGAACGAGTCAAGACCGGAGCGATCCCAGAGGCTCCGACTTGGCCGGGCCCCAAATTCAGGGATGAGCCTGGTTTGGGGCGGGAAGAAAAGCCGGGAATGGGGTCTGGATGTTCCCAGGGGCTTGGAGAACATCCCTGTGCCTCTCTCAACTCGGCTGGATCTGCGTATTCCAACTGGGATTGAGTTAAACATGGATCGGGATCCGTTGAGGAACGAGAGGAACGAGCCAAGACCGGAGCGATCCCAGAGGCTCCGACTTGGCCGGGCCCCAAATTCAGGGATGAGCCTGGTTTGGGGCGGGAAGAAAAGCCGGGAATGGGGTCTGGATGTTCCCAGGGGCTTGGAGAACCTCCCTGTCCCTCTCTCAACTCGGCTGGATCTGCGTATTCGAACCGGGATTGAGTTAAACATGGATCGGGATCCGTTGAGGAACGAGAGGAACGAGCCAAGACCAGAGCGATCCCAGAGGCTCCGACTTGGCCGGGCCCCAAATTCAGGGATGTGCCGGGGTTTGTGCCTCGGAACAGCCCGGGAATGACGGAGCTGTCCCCCAGGGCAGCGTTTTTTCCCGGATTTGGGGGATTTCGGGAATTCCAGGCCCCACCTCGAGGAGCAGAGGTCCCAGGGATTCCTTCTCGATGACGCCCTGGCTGCTGGAGGAGATGTCGGATTTCTGGACGTCGTCGTCCGCCGCTTTCTCTGGAATGAAGGGAAAAAGGGAAGTTTCAGCCCGCGGAACCGTGGAATTCCGGAATCGTTCCCAAAAATCAGTGAAATACGGATCCTTCCCTGACGGGATAAGCTCCAAAAGCCACCGAGGTTTTCTGTTGATCCCTCGCTCCCGTGAAAATGTGGGATTGGGGGTTATTTGGGAATTATTATGGAGTAATAATTGCAATAAATGTGCTTTATTAATCAGTGAAATCAATAATAGTAATAAAGAGATAATAGTAAGAATTAGGAATTGTATGGTGTTAATGAGATGTTAATTAAAAACATGGAACAGGATTATATTTTGTATGCTGTCATAGTCAATTTAATTAATCAATTTAATTCTTTATTAATCAGTGTAATCAATAACAGTAATAAGTCGATAGGAGTAATAATTAATAATTGTATTAATGATATCTTAATTAAAAATACATAATGGAATTAGATTTTATGTGATGCAATAATCAATTTCATTAACAATAGTGATAAATTGATAATAGAAATAATTAATAATTATATTGTATTGATATATTAATTACAAATATGTAATAGGATTATATTTTATATGCTGTAATAATCAATTTAATTAACAATAGTGATAAATTGATAATAGAAACAATTAGTAATTATATTGTATTAATATTAATTAAAAATATGTAACAGAATTTTATTTTATATGATGTAATAATCAATTTAATGAATCAATTTAATTCTTTATTAATCAGTGAAATCAATAATAGTAATACATTGATGACAGTAATAATTAATAATTGTATTAATGATCTATTAATTAAAAATATGTAATGGAATTATATTTTATATGCTGTGATAATCAATTTAATTAACAATACTGATAAACTAGTAATACTAATTAATTAATAATTGTCTTCTGTTAATTACATATTAGTAAATACATATATCTGCTATATCAAGATATATTAATATTAATTTAATAGTAATATATCAATAGTAATATATTAATATTACTACTAAAATTAATGTGTTAATATTAGCAAATAAAATAATTAAAATAGTGATCGAATAAATTATTAATAGTAATAATATTTGTATTGTATTAATTCTATACTAATTAAAAATATGTAATAGAATGATATTTTATATGCTGTGATAATCAATTTAAATAACAATAGTGATAAATTAATAATGGTCATATTAATGATATATTAATTACTAAATAGAGAAGAAATATATCTGCTATATCAAGATATATTAATTTAATAGCAATTTATTATTATGTTCATATTAATATAAAGGTAATGTAATATTAATATTAATCAAATAAATTAGTAATAGTTATAATTAATAATTTTATTGTATTAATTCTATATTAATTAATATGTAATATCATTATAAATGTGGTAATAATAAATTAAATAACAGTAATAAATTAACAATAGTAAGTATTGTAATATTAGTATTACATTGATTCCATATTAATTAATGATATATTAATATTTAATTAATTATATATTAACAGACAATATATGTTGTAATAATAAATTAAATAACAGTAATAAATTAACAATAGTAAGTATTGTAATATTAGTATTACATTGATTCCATATTAATTAATGATATATTAATACTTACTTAATTATATATTAATATACAATATATGTTGTAATAATAAATTAAATAACAGTAATAAATAATAAAACCCCAAAATCCTTAAGGATCGGGAAAAATGGAGAAATTCC